TTGAAGTGGTCCTTGGAACTTTCTGAGTTCGACATTCAGTACGAGAGCAGGAAAGCCCTAAAAGCACAAGCTTTGGCCGATTTCGTCGCTGAAATGACCGCTCATAACCCCCCCGCAGGGAAAGAGCATAAGTGGATCATCTTTGTCGATGGAGCGTCCAATCCATCCAGAAGCGGCGCATGGATCATCTTAGAGAACGAGGAAGGTGTGGTGATCGAGAATTCGCTCACCCTCTACTTCCCAACTTCAAACAACCAAGCGGAGTACGAGGCCCTGCTTGCAGGACTAAGATTGGCCAAGGACCTAGGTGCCCGTGAAGTGCAAATTTTCACAGACTCTCAACTTGTCGCTTCTCAAGTCCAAGGAAGCTATCAGGCTAAAAATAATAACATTATCGAATACCTGGACTTAGTCAAAGGGTACATGAAGAAGTTCGACCGAGCAGAGATATCGCACGTCCCGCGCGAGCAAAACACAAGGGCCGATATACTGTCGAAGCTCACAAGCACGAGGAAAAAGGGCGGAAAAAAATTCTTCATACAGGAATCTCTGTCTCGCCCGAGCATCGAGAAAACCTCGATCCCGCTCGAGGTGAACGCCATCGGAGACAGTTCGTGCTGGATGACCCCAGTGTTCAACTTCCTGACAAAAGGCGAACTCCCTCCAGACCGAACAGAAGCAGCCGCGATCAAACGACGAGCGTGCTCCTACGTGGTGATCGAGCACAAACTATATCGGAGCGGATCCAATACAAAGACAACTTTTTTCTCATGAAGCATCTTTGCAAGAAAGGAGTTAGTTCCCTCCGGGGGTTCTGATAGCCAATGCTTCCTACGCTCTAGCCCTTAGCCCTGAACTCCTTAGCACAAGCACTAAGTAAGCCCGTGAAGGAAAGGCCTTCAATATCGCACCTACTAGGACTTCAATTTAGTTTTCGAATAGGACTACTTCTTTCTTTTCTGTACGCTAGGGCCGCCCGCACGCTTTAAGGGTTGTTGAACGTATTGCACTAAGAAAGACTCCTGCCGTTGCGGTCATATTTTATTTGAAAGCCGCTCAAGCAATTTCTTTAAAGAAGAGCAAGCAAGACAAGATAAGGCTCGAAAGCTGCGAATAAAGTCGAGCTGTCTAATCGAGCTGTGAAATCGGTGAGGTGAGGTATTGGAAGTGTTCAGCGAATATAGATAAAGAAACTCAAAAAGAGCACCGTGCTGTACTGGCAGAGCTTCAGCAAAACTAGGTAGGTAGCTTTCGCTAATGAGAGATGGATTTGGGGATTAGATTAGGTCTCCTAATTAATGGAATTAGTTTTATCTTGATTAGTTTATTTTTAAAGAAGCATTCTCCCTTTACTCGATCTTTAATTGAATTATCGATAGAACGTTGATCAATATTAAGGAAGAGATCGAGGATCACATCAGGATCCTATCTGATCTTTGTCAACACAGGACTCGAAGCCCCCTGCTCAAACAAAAGGGTAATCCTTCAGAATTTTCAATTCCTTTCGGATTTATTATATTAATTATAGTTGAGGGGAGAAGACTCATTGAAAATTCTATCTATATAGGGGGGAGCCATTGTGAAGCCTAGAGAGGCGGAAGCGGCAAATCGCTTCTACCGAGTTCCACAACACTTAGCTTAGTAGCTTAACTCTTTCTACCGGCGTGGCGCTGCTGGATGCTTATGATCAATAGAACAGGAAGAGGAGGAAAAAAAATCTTATGATGGGCATCTATTTGAGTCGATCATTTCCAAGATGTAATTCAAGTTTATTCTTATGTAGTGGAAAGGCCTTACAATCTGAAGTTTTACGCTTAGGGGAAGAAATGTTCTTGGTGGATGCAGGACCTGGGACCCCCATAAATTGTATGCAAGATGAGCCTACAGGAGTGCCAATCAACCGAGCCACCAGGTTTGATATAAGGTGGGATTCCTGGATCTAGTGGCCGGTGAATCATTGATCAAAAAGAAGATTTTGGAGAGATTATTCATCGATCTAGTGGCTGGCGAATCACTGATCAAAGAGCAAGCAACCGCCTGGTTTAATGATTTGGTGGGATCCACAGATGTAGTGGCCGGTGAACCGCTTCTTCTTCTTCCACGAAGATTCAGACAAAACCGAGCTTGGATGAAACTGAACAAGATTTGGCGAACGAATACAAAGGTAAAAGGCTTTATTATTGATAAAGTCAAAGGAGGTTATTCAGTAGCCATCGCGGGTTTCATTACTTTTCTTCCATTCTGTTCTCACAACAAAAGGAAAACAAGGAGGATATCGAATGATCGATTCACCATTGAGAGCATTAACCCCAAAAGGATGAATATTGTGGTGTTCTAACAGCGGCAGATCAAACAGTAACTTGATGAGCAAAATCTGCTGACGAAAAAAGTGTAGTTTTTTTCAATTCTGAAGCGAAACCTAGCGTCTCCTGATAACACTCTATCACCTTAATCCATTCTTTTGTTGAGGGTCTGGCACTTATTACAGGCCGCTCTGTCA